CAAATCACTTTTGGATGGAAACATAGCTACAGACTTATTTACACTCTGACAGGGGAGATAATGAGACACAGGTGAAAGCAAAGACAATCAGGGCGGCGGGAAACTTGACAGGACATGGGGAGACAAACCAACATACTTTGAAAATAAAACAGGAAACAGAACCTCACATTTAAACCCTGACAAGAAGGAAGATGGCACCTAGCACTGCTGAGCTAACTGACATTACAGCTCAGTCAAGGAGGACATGATTAATGTTTACATCTCCTGCTGTCACAAGCACAAGCCTCTCGTTCATGAGTAGATGCACGCTTCCTTCTGCACGGTGATACAGTTTGAGGTTGTAGTTCAGTGGAAAGTAAATAGTCCCTACATGAAACTGCTCACAACAAGGTCAGTGGATTATCTGGAGTAAATGGGTCATGATTTCTGGAAAGAGGCATTCATAATAAATCTTTCAAATGAAGCTCTGTAAGTTTCTCTCTCACCCTGCCATTTACTCTTGCACGTATGCTCACTCACTGTCTCTAGGTATCAATAGGTTCGTTCGAGATGAGCCAGTGCTGCGCAGATTCGATCACCGGCGATCGGTGCACAATGCATGCCAGTTAGTTTTGTGTCCGACTTCATCCCGACTTGCTCAGACGTATTACAAAAGTGGACGGCGATAAAATCACGAGAGCGAGGCGGCCGCAGTTTTTAGAGCCAGGTGCTGCAGTTGCTCTCCACCAACTGCGCCGCCTGGCTCTCACCTGGTCTAACAGCTGATTGGTTTAGATGTCGACTCAACAAGATGACGTTTTAGATAAACTACTCATTTTTGTTGAATTCTAGAGATTAAGATTGTATTTNGAGAGCGAGGCGGCCGCAGTTTTTAGAGCCAGGTGCTGCAGTTGCTCTCCACCAACTGCGCCGCCTGGCTCTCACCTGGTCTAACAGCTGATTGGTTCAGATGTCGACTCAACAAGATGACGTTTTAGATAAACTACTCATTTTTGTTGAATTCTAGAGATTAAGATTGTATTTGTCTGACCTGAAGGTTTATTCTGTGAACAGAAAACATGTTGTGTGACTGATGGTGAAAACAAACTGATAAATGGGTCTAATCACTTTTTTAATGAACTGACATCATTCCAGACAGGATGTAAGTGTGTCTGTGACTTCCTGTACGGACTGAAGGCTGCTGGAAACTGTTGGGAAACTGTCTGACTTCACTGCGGCTTTTTGTCACCGCCCCCCGGTGCGGCCGCCTGCTCTCGTCTACTTTCCAGGCAAGGCGCAGTTCATCTCGAACGAGCCTATTGTCTGGGTAGGTCAGTTGAATCATCAGCTGATTCAATCAACCAATAGCACAGTGACACACCTTCTCTGTCAGCCTATCATCTTACTGCTCCTCATTTTAAGTATGGGTCTTTCTTGCTGCCATCATACATGCGCCCTCCACCTCCCCATCACCACCTAGTCTTTATGGATTCATCAGCCTCATCGGCCACAGCAGCCAGCAGCCTCAGAATCATCAACCACCACTAGTGTCTGGACTCATCAACCACCACTAGTGTCTGAGGTTTATCCTGCTGTCACTCAGATGTCCCTCGATCACAAAATATCTCCCTCTGGTGTCCAAGAGCCAAAGACTTCTATTAAATCTTAATCAGCACAAATCATGTGTTAATCTGTACACTCATATTCTGTATTAAATATTATCTTTACTTAATTCTTCTGTTTCTCTCGATTGACAATCTACATTGTTAAACAGCACTACATGTGAGAGGTAAAATATGTATTTTTAATCTTGGCGTAAACTGTGCCTTTAACATTTAATCTTATAATAAAGGGATGTGATGTGTGAGTTTTGATTAAACTCTTTGTGTATTGCATGCTGTTTCTCCATGCAGTGAAAGTCCAACACATGAAATAATCACATCTCTGACAAAGTAGTTGTACCAAACCAGGAACATTTATTAGATACTGTGAGTGCAAAATGACAGCGAATCTACAGAGCTTGGGTGAGACGGAACCCAGTGAGCTGGTGAAACACCGTCAAGGTTTACACACCACTATTTATTCTCAATTTTTCACCCACATGTAACCTAGTTGTAGCCTTGACAGCTTTTCAAACCAAAATAAGAAACGCTCACAGGGAAGCAGAGAGTGCACTCACACACTTCACAACAACATCAGTCCTTGGCAGGGAAGAGTAGGAGCCATGTTGAATGCACGAGTGACAGAGGGAGCCGTACGCAGCAGAGTCAGTCCTTTATAATTCAGTAGGTCAAACAAGGTGAGAGATGGCATGAAGAGCCAGCCCCATCATCATCATCTAGCAACAGTGTAGCAGGTTGGCATCTTAAGTCAACCGACAGGTTTGGTTCCTCAAGTGCTGAAGGCAAAATCTCAGCACAGTCAGAGGTTTGGGGAACATCAGATGGGCTTCGTGCCAGGCCGTCGTACAGTAGAAGCGCTCTCCAGATTAAACATCAATCAATCATTACAGTACAGAGGCAACCATTGCATAACTCACATCTGACACATTTAAACCTGGTAATTGTTTTGTTTGGACGACTTTTTAATAGCAGCTGAACACAGAATACAAATTTCACACAGTAGTTTTGCATCTCAAGTGTGTACAAGTGGATTATGGTGTCCTATAAGGGACTGTACAAAAGGTATTAAGGGGTGACAGGGTCAGAAACGGGGTGTGGTATTTTATTTTTGTGAAGGGAGGGTAGTTAATATTTTTTTGGGAGCGCATGGGAGGACTTTTAAGGTTTTTTTCTACCCCATATTTGTATCTTATTGTAGCTTTCCTTTGTGAGATTCATTATACATAAAATAGATAAAATAAAAGCATAATAAAATAAAATAAG